GTGATTCACTTATTTCAAGACTAAGAATCAGTTTTAGTAAACTTATCCTATTCAAATAATTCATATCCTACATTAAATTTCAATAATCTAACTATTAAATTAAAAATTCTTAATACATAAATTAAATTTGTAAATTTTTTTAAGATTTAAAAACTAATCATATAATATTTCCTTATATAGATTTAAATCAACATATAAAATATTTTTAATATTTTTTGTTAATTTAAATTAATAAAAAAAAATTTCATATAATTTTTAACTTTTTTTAAAAAATTACAGACTTGATTTATGTATTAAAAACTTTTAAATTAATGATTGAATCATTAAAATTTGATATATAATATGAATTATTAAATAAAATAATTAAATCTATCAAAATTTACTGTTAAAAGTAAATAAATATCTTTTATATATATATATATATATATATATATAAAATTTAAGATTTAGGATTTAGAATTTTTCAATAGAATGAATTGTAAGGTAAATAAATATGTAAATTTATAAATAAATAAACAAGGTTTGCATAAATCAAGTCCATACACAGGCTATCAACGTACGCTTTGATTCTCATTGAAATTATATATATTATATTTCCTTTTATATATTAAAAAAACTTATTAGTTTAGTGAGGTAATTTTTATCTTTTAAAATTAAGAATTGTGGGTTATAATTTTTATTTTTAAATATTTTGACCATTTTTTCTCTTACTTTTACATGTTACATTATGATACTATTTCATTAACACATTAATTTATATATTACATGGGACATCACTCTTTGTATTATTCTATTAATAATATATCAACAAATATTTGAAGGACTAAATATATTTTAAATTTAAATTTTTTTCTGTTATAAACTTTATTTTCAAGATAAAAAAAATAAATAAATAAAGGTGGTGGTCAGAGTTAAATTTTTGAAAATTTAATATTGGTGAAAATTTCAAATATTGAAACCTATTTAAGCCATTTTGTTGAAAATATATTGGTCAAGAGTTAAAACCAAACGATTCTAGAACTTTTGGACCATAGCAAATAATAAAAAACGATCATAGTTCAATATAACATTTTAAAAATAAGGATATAGTTCGACATTGGTTCAGAATTTGACACGCAAAACTTGTAACGAAGCTAACATTTTGCATGATCAATTCATTAATATAAATGTGTTGCACTTTTCATAAATGTTTCAAGGTAACAATCTTCTTGCCCAACAGGACCCTAATGGGATATTAAAGTAACATAATTAACTAACCAGCATCATAGTGCATCAACCAGGTTTTAATTTGGCTCCATGTTACTTGTTTTGTAATGTAACTAACCTTGTGAAAGTAGAAAGATTCTCTTTTTTCCTTGGCTATTCACGTTGCACTTTAAGAACTAAAAATGGATATGCTAAGCTTCACTATCAATCAATGAACTATTCCTTTTTCACCCTCAAAGTCATAAAGGGTAAACTGTTTTTTCATACATATCAACACGCGCATGCACAAGAAACCAAAAAGTTTCTCCAACTTCCCCCCATCTCTTTCTTTTCATACTAAGCTGCACTCGAGACCTGGTATTTTTCTTTAACATATTCCTCCCTCTGTTTTCATAGACAAATGATATACTTAAAAAATGTCCATTAACTGATGATCATTCAATTTTACAAAATTAACTTGTAAAATAAATTAAAATATACATTATTTTGAACATATATATTAGTAGTCAATGTATGATTTCGGACACACGTTGTTTATGCTAATGAAGTTTACAAGATTAAAAAATTAAAAATAATCTAATGACAAATAAACAACAGGTGATGGTAGGGGTGGGCAAGGGACAAGTTGGGACAGGTATATCTTTATCTTTACCCGATCTAAAAAAATTGACCAAATTATTTATTTAAACTTGAACCTAATCAAGACCTGAAATATATAAGACGAGATCAGGTCAATCCAATATTTTAACTCATTATATTAATATTATCACATGTATAGTTGAATTATGAAATAAAGATAAATCAATGTATATTTTTATAACATATATATGAAAAATAAATAATGACATTATAAATATAATATAATATTACACAAAGTTATATCACTTAAAAAAGTTTTATAAAAAAAGACACAATTATTAAAACTTTATACATTTTAAAAAGAATGAAAGAAAGGGTTGGGATGGTTTAAAGTATTATCCAAATCCATCATAAAAATTATACCAGGTTGGATCCGTGGACAAACCATGTCATGCTCACCCTCATGACCAAAAAGATCTAATAGTAATTGATAGTATATAGTATGATACCATCTTAAGTCACTACAAGGAAAATGATAAATTGCAACGGATAAATTGCGACGGTTATCTCGAAACTGTCGTCGCTTTGATATTGCGACCCTTCATACGAAATTTTTTCAAAACCGTTGCAAAATTGTTCAACATTGCGACGGTTTATCGTAAACCGTCGCAAAATTTGTAGAACATTGCGATAGTTTATCAAAAACTGTCGCAAAATTGTTCAACATTGCAACAATTTATCGTAAACCGTCGCAAAATTTGTTGAAGATTGCGACAAAGTAGAACAACTCTCTTTTGAAGAGTGGATTTTAAACTTTGTTGATCTAGTAGAACTCTTTAGATAATTTATGCAAATGATTTTGGCCAAGTGATATGTAAAGATAATTTTCACAATAGAGTTCGTTAACCTTTTTCTGAAAAATTATTGGTATTTATAGATGATTGTTTCATAGGTCATGACTCTTCATGAAGAGTTGTGACTTTCTAAAACTTTTTCAGAAAATATGCTCTGGTAATCGCTTACAAGTCTTGGTAATTGATTACAACGATTTAATTTCAAAATGTTTGCAACGTTGTAAAATTTAAATTCAAATTTCTAAATTTTTATCTTCTGGTAATCGATTACAGGGAATGAATAATCGACTACCAGAGCACGTTTTAATAAGTAAATTTTAAATATGAGTTTCATCCTTTGGAAATCGATTACATGTACTGGTAATCGATTACCAGACAATAATTACCTTATTAAAACTTAAAATATAGAAAACTTCTATTTTCAAAACCTTATTAATATAAAAGATTATATTTGAGTTTTCTTGAAATTCTTTATTTTAAAAGGCCAAGAATCTTATGCAATATTTCTAAAGATTTCATTTTACATATAAAGCTAGGTTGACAAGACTTATCTAAAATACTTTGAGATTTTTGTTTCTTGATCACCTTGCTTTAACTTGACGTCTTATTTTCTATAATTTCTTTGGCATCATCAAAATCCTTTACATACGTTCTTCCACACTAAGATACCCCAAAATACAAGGGTAAAATGGGAAATACAAGTAAAATAAAATTCTAAGACTAAAATACCCCAAGATACAAGGGTAAAATAGGAAATCAAAGACGAGGGTAAAATAGGAATAAAAATAAATGCTATGCTAATAAAAACTTAGGAGCTAAGGTCTAAAAGTGGCCTCACTCCTCTTATGGTTTTTCAACACTAACTCATTCCTTTTGCTTCCTTTAATACATCACCTCTTGGACTTCTTGGCCTTAGTGTTATTCCATCAATTAATGTTAAGGATAATTTTAAAAAGATAGTTCAAATTATTGACATTTTACTCTTGCACAGATGAAACTTTAAGGACAGCAAGGCAAAGCAAAAAAGAAAATAAACTAATGGACATGGGCCAAATCATATGCTAGAGTAGCCAAAATGTTATATAGAGGTAGATTTCATTTGTTAGGCTCTTGATCCCCATGAAAGCCCCGACCAGTTAGCACGTCAACTAAAATTTAATGTCATTAATTAAATTAACCAATTTTTTTAAACAATGTAATTTAGTTGAAAGTGTTTTATATAAAGGGATGGAGGTAGGAGTATTTTATATCATCACAAAACTACTAAAATGAAGAAAGTTGTGCATTAATAATAATAAATTGTTATAAGAATTAATAATTTTACAATATTATGTATTATTAAAAAATGTTTATCTACAAAATAAATAATTTACCAAGTGTAGTTTTTTTTTTATCTTAAATGAAAATACAGAGCTTATGATGGAAATGAAAAAAAAACATGCCCATTTAGAGGGGCCTGGTTGGTCTAATCACCAAATTGTTCCTCCGCTTGCTTTAAAATAGGACTACTTGGCTTTTCCTTTCTGAGATTTGTTGTAGGTTCGTACCACCAACCTCATCGTCCTAAATTGTTTGCATAGTCTGGCAATTCCATTATTCCTTGGACATCCTTACTAAGCCCTTGTCCTGGTCAGTAGCCACTTTTGAATAAAATTTGAGCTGCTAAGTTCCTCTTGCTTAAGATCTTCTCAACATGGGTGATTTCCAATGCTTGGAAAGCAATTTCTAAGGCTTCTTCTACCGCATCAACAAATGGGATAATTAATGGTTTGATGACGATCATGTTTTCCTTTGCTTGCATGATCATCAACTTATCATCAATCGCGAACTTGACCTTTAATACAATGTGGAAGGGTACCACATTTGCCTAATGTATCCATAGCCTTCTAAGGACTCAGTTGTAACTAGGAGCGATGTCCATCACTTGGATTTCCATATTGAAAGTGGTGGGCCCTACCTGAATAGGTTAAGTGATCTCTCCAATCACTTATCTTCGGGATCAAAGGCTCGAACGATCTTGTTGCTTGGTCACATTTGGGTCTCTTTGACCGTCAATTTGTCGAGAGTGATCTTAGTTAGCACGTTTAAAAAGGACCCATTGTCTACCAAAACCTCGACGATGAGAAATTCCTTACATTTTACATATATATGGAAGGGATTGTTGTGGTCGATTCATCCACTTGGTATCTTGGTGTATGTGAATGTTAAGTGATCATTAGCCGTGATGTGGCTTACGGTCCCTTCAAACTTATCTTGGGAGATATTGTGAGTGATGTAGGCTTTGTTCAAGACCTTTAATAATGTCTTTTAGTGTGGCTCTGAGCTTATAATCAACGAAAGCAACGTGATCTTTACTAGAGTATGGTTCAGTTGATCGATGATGGAATACTCGCTCTATTGAATAAACTTGAGGAGTTCATCTTCTCCGTTGAACTCCTTTCCCTCCTCCTCCTTGTCCTTTTCCTTGGGGACCTTGTTTTGTTATTCTTTCGGAGTGTAGACTCATCCACTCCTAGTCATTCCTCCGATCCTGGTAATGTTTGATGAATCCATGATTGATGAGCCTTGTACTTCATAGATCCACAAAAAATTATAATTTTCGACAGGTAAAAAATGAGTTGTAATATTAATATAGAGGCAGTTGGTACGACAGTTGATGAAAGGGTCGCAATTCCAAGTTTGCGACGGTTTGTGCAACGGTTCTGATAACCGTCGCAAAATTGCCTGGTGACGGACAATTTTGCGACAGTTCCCAAACCGTCGCAATGTTGTCTTTGCGGCAGTTCTAACCGTCGCAATGTAGGCCATATAACCGTCGCAAAATCGTCATTTTCTTGTAGTGAGTATGAGATGATGTCTAACTCAATTCTACAAATCTAACTTAAAAAAGGAGTTTAATTATTCACTTATACATTGTCATATCATTGATGGATGTGATCATTGAAATAATTATTATCTTAATACTTTTTTTTTTTATATATAAATTTGTAATATTTTATAAAAATTAAAAATATATTTAACACTTAAAAAGTAGAAAACGTTCTTAATATTTATTATATTGAAAATTATTTAAATAATGATAAAATAAAAAAGTTAGTTATTTTTAAAAAATTAATTTATTTATAAATAACTAAATAAATTATTATAAATTAATAAATAAATTCATGATAAAATATAATGATGTAAATTTTTTAGTGGGACCTATTGGAAATACCTAAAGAGAGTTGCTCCATTGTAAAGATAAAGTACTTGAATGCGTTTGTATTGGAAAGAATAGAAGTAAATGATGTGTACAAATGAATCCTATTAAAAACACCTAAATAAAGTTGCTTCATTGCATATTCTCTTAGCTAGCTTCAAGGCCAAATAAATGACCATGAAAAACAAAGTCCGCAACAAAACACAACCCTCCTTCAACTCTATAATAGCGAAACATTTTTGCTTTTAAACTAGAAATATGACTGGTTTATGTCCCATTTCCTTTTCTGTAAAAAAAAGGTTTTAGGTAGCCTTGTACCTATTTATATTTATATATAATTTTTATTTTGGCTGTTAAAAAAATAATATGATGCTTGGTCATTGCCTTCAATAACGTGCTTATCTAGTAATGTGTTTTATCCTTTTCATTTTTAAACACAATCAATAAATATTTTTTATATAAAAATTATGTTATAAATAAAATAAATAATATTTAATGTAAATAATTTTAAAATTTTAATGAAATGTATTAAATAATTTTTAATTAATGTTTGTAACAGATTTGTTTAATAAAATGTTTCTAAAGTTGAGTCATTTAAATAAATAATTTAATTAAATATTTATTTAATAATCCTTTATTAAACTGAGGCTAAAAGTCGTACCAGAAGAAAAATGAGTATTTTTAATACTTGGCTAAAAGTGTTCAAATACTCTAGAGCAGTACCATCCATGTAAGCTGGGGGAACTGGGGAAGTCATCAGTAATTAGGAAATAGTTTTGTGTATTAATAATTTGGCACACTTGAAGTGTGAACAGTCAAGACAATTTTAAGATGTTTATCTACAGGTCCCTATATTTTTATGCTTTCTGATCATTTAGTTGAAAGTGTTTTAAGCACTCACGGTTTTTGATGCTCAGGATGGTAAATATGCAATTGTCACTGATACATGGCAGAAGTTCAGTGATGTTTTCGTGGAGCCTGATGTAATGCAATTTCTTGCCAACTTTGCTGATGAGTTTCTGGTTCATGGTGTTGATGTTGAAGGGAAGAAGTAAGAAGCAATTTTTAATGTCTTAAAATAACTGCATATAAGGACAAAGATTCTAGTTATAGAATTAGGAGTGACAAATCCATATTTGATAAAATACTTGCTAATCTATCCCGAAAGAAATAGAAAAGTGTTCTGTATGTAACATGTTCTGTTTATTTCTTGGTTTTGTCATTGCTGCTAAAAGACATATTAAAGATCTTTACATTCTATTCTTGCTTAGATCTCAATCTGACAATCTCCATGTACATCCTTGTTCCATTCCCACTTTTGCTATTATCTGATAGGCTCCACTTTCATATGATAAATATTGACAATTAATTTGAGAATAAGATTCACCTAAATTTTTCTCGTTTTTTCGTCATCTCAAGTACACTGGATTGAGTGGAATAATCAAATAGTTTTTAATAGTATAATTTGGATTGTTGATAATATCAAATTTAAGCACAAATTTTGATTCTGTATGAATGCCATCGAAGTAGTTCAGTTGAAGATTAACTTCTGATTTTGTGCTTAAAGAAATTGTTTTGGAACCAGACCTACACTGATTATATCGGTATTTATATTAATTATCAATTAATAGTTTTGAAATAAACAAGTTAAATTTGATAAGATAAATTGATGGATTTAGAAGGGGGGAATTTAGAGAGAAAGAGAGAACTTAGGGATTGAAAAGGCTTTATTATTCAAGGGATTGCAGTTCATAGGTTCTGCATATCATCCATTTATATAGACTCCTGATAAATTTGGTTGAGACTATTCCTTTGGCTAATATCAACGGAGTGCAACTCCCTAGAGACTAATGCCCATGAACGCTAAGTGCATTAACTATTATTATTTCTGACATTCCCCGTGAAGCTAAAGCTGATTAAGCTTTAAGCTTGTTCTCTCCTCTTTAGTAATATTGTATCCAGTAAACATGGTTGAAAAAGCAACATAAGGCGGGGTTAGATAAACCACTGAACAATATAACGGTAGTTGGAAATTAACACAGCTGGAAATGGATGCAGTTGGAAATTGACACAGTTGATGCAGCTGAAAATTGCTAGGGAAAAAAGTTGCGGGAAAAGCCATCCGCAGTTGCATGTCACTAAAAATTTGACAATGGTTGTACTTGTAGATTGTCACAAGATGCTGGAAAGTCACTGAGAGAGCAGCAGGTCATCAGAGAAGTTGCCAATGGTGATAGCTTGTGAGAAAATTTTTCGTGTCTGGTGGACTATGAAACAGTTGCCAAAAGAGTGACTGAATGTGCCGGAAGAGACAATACAGTGGAGGAGAATGCTAAGCAGAGTTGTCAAAACAAAGGAGACATGAAATAGAAAACCACTGACAAAGAAATAACTTGGGAGAGAAAATGGCTGGGATTTGTGTTTTAGGATACTAAAAAGCAGGGTGAGGAAACCGCAGTAGAGAGAAAGTAGAAAAAAGGGAGTCCCAAATTTGAAGGGAACTTGGCAGTGGAATCGTGACAGGACAGGCTATGATGGATGGTAACCCTTTGCTACCATATTGAACTTAGAGGGGGAGAATTTAGAGAGAAAGAGAGAACTTAAAGATGAAAATTCTTTACTATTCAAGAGAATGTAGTACATAGGTCATGGATATCATCCGCATTCCTCACTAAGTGAGGTCCACAGGATTGAAGGATGCCATTGAACTTGGTTAAAGACTAAATTCTTAGGGATATTAGGTGTGTTTAGAAACATGCTTAGAAGTGTTTTTGAGAGTTTTTCTCCTAGAAAATACTCTTTTTTTTTTTAATAGAAAATCTCTCAAAACCGCTTATAATTTATATCCAATAGGTTCATTATTCAGTATGAGATCTTTTTTACTAAATTCCTCCAATTTCTTTCTTGGTCGCCTTTTCCCCATTTTTCAAGGTTAAATTAAAAAACATACAATCTACTCTTTTCACTCGCACATCTAGTGGCCTTTTTCGCATATGTTCGAATTGCCCTAACTAATTTCTTGTCATCTTTTCTTCTATTGTGGTCACAAATATCTTATATACAACATTTTTTATAGTCTTTTCTTATATGGCCACACATTATTAGACACGAATACCCATGAGCATTAAATGTATTTTACCATGTGATATATGAATATATTAATACTTAATTGCATTAACTATTTTTGTTTCCAATAGTATTGTCTACCCCATATCATTTGTTTTCTTGTTAAATCAAACGTTAATTAAACAAAAAAACTAAATTCTGTACTTCAATCAAAGTATTGTGTGATTGTATTTCAAATTACCTGTTCTGGTAGTTATTTCAAAATATTAATTAAAGAATATATCTAGCATCAGAGTTGTGAGCTAAGCGTGGTAATACCCTTATAAAAGCTACTGAGTGTCCCTGCGAAATCACTGGTAGTTGCAAAATTGAAGAAGCAAATGCCTCTGTTTAGAATTATAAAAATTCTAAATCTTTAGACATTGATAACCATAGTGATATAGATAATTACTATGAGTTGTCTCTAATACAAATGGATATTGATTGTTATAAATAAGTAAAGATTAAAAAAGTTATAAATTTTGCAAATATTCAAAAAATTATTGATAGGCTTAACAAAACCAGTATTATAGGAGAAGATCCTACTAAATATTGGGAAAATACCCTATTATGGATACAAAAACATTGTTGGATTATGGATGTCTAGACTCTATTCTAATCCACCCAACAAAAAGATTTGATGGATTTAGTCCTTTTACAAATGAAGCCATCAATACTATACAAGCTGTCTTTATGTGTCACATAACCATGAATGACTTGCCCCAGTAACTTCTCACAAAACCATTATCCAACGCATTTCATGAAACTATTGATGGATCGACACAAAGAGTACCCTGGTGTGCTATACAATGATGGATATGAACTTTGGGATGTCCAAGGTAATACCCATTATCAATATAGCTTATATCGAGCTCAAGTCATGGGATACCAATGGTTTTTCTCTGAAACTGACGAAGCAAAGTATAACCTCATCAAGGAAACACATGATACCAAATTGTACCTCCCTTCGAAAAATGGGAAGCTATTCATTCCTTTCGACATAAAGAGACTTATGAAGCAAACGAAATCTTTGGACAACAAACGCCAACAGATACCCAATCCATGGCAGGATCCTCCGAGATGCAAGAAGCCGGAGAAGATGAAGAGATATTGGTCTCCAAATAAAAAAGAAAAAAAGAAAAAAAGAAAAAAAGAGGGAGAGTGAAACAAGAAGATAAGGACTCCAATAAACCTTATCACAAAGGAATCAGTTTTGTTTTTACAAACCTTATGACAAAAATCAGCTTTGAGTACAAAAAATAAGGATTCTTGTAAAAATCAGCTTTAAGTCTAGTCAAGTACCCTGAGATAGAGTAAATGTATAGTGTAAAACTATACTTGATTGAAGGGGCATTTTAGACATTTTAGTTTTTACTTTTCATGTGTTTGGGGTCTATAAATAAAATCTCTCAACTCTCCCCAAAGCATGCAGAAATAGATAAGAGAAAAAGAAAGAGAGAAAAGAGAGATTTTTGAGTGTATCTTGTAAGTGTCTTATGTAATATTATCTACATCAATAAAATTTTTGTAAGTATTCTTCTACAAGGATGGTTGGCTAAACTATCCATGGTAGTTCTTAGGATGTCGTAGTTATTTTATTTAACATATACGAATGTAATTTAGAATTTTGAACTTTTTAGAGAAAATGGTTTTTGCTAAAACCTGGGATTTGTAAGCTTGTGTTCTTCAGGTGTGCCCTTGATAAATGTTTAATAACCTTAAATAAAGAAAAGGAAATCTAATAGTTTGTTTGCAGGCTAAAATGAGGCTATTGTAAGACCCAAAGGATGGGTTATCATAAGACCTTAAACTTGCCGAAAGAGGCAGAAAATTATTAATTTTTCGGTTTCTTTCTACATAAGGTTTAAATAAGAAATCCTAATTTCTCAAATAAAAAGTTCAGGTTGTTCATTACATTCTATATTATGTTAAACATTATAACTCAGTGTGTAATCCTAAGAACTATCATATCTCTTTATATCACTTCCTTCGTTCTACTTGCGCAATTTTCACTTTTTGATTAATACTGTTTTTTTTTCTTAAAACTTGAAATTATAAATTAATCCTTAAACTAGTGCTTGAATAATAAGCTCAGTTTTATCCTTTTTGTTGATTTGGGAAAAAAGATTTTTACCAAAACATGTAAGCTGGTGTTTGGTTTTTTATTTACATATTATAAGTATGCAATCTTTGTTTTGTAAAGCCATTAAACCACTTGGTCCTTCTTCGTGATTTATGAATTTATTATGATTTTCAAAATTTTCATAAAGAAAGTCAACAGTTTTTTCTATATGATTTAGTCTTGTTTCTAAAGCAGATATTCTATTGTTAACTAACTTATTGTCCAAATCATTTGTTTTTTTATGGTTTGGAAAAAGTATTTTATCAACAACTTATAAACAAGTTTTGCAGAAGTTTTTATAACATAAAGGGCAATGTGCTCTTAATGTTTTATGGAAAAATATTTTGTAATGAAAACATTCAATATGTTCTGGTCCTGCAAAAAATTGTATTTCATGATCATAGGATATTTGTTCTTCATTTTTATTCATAAGACTATATCCTAGATCATCTAATATTTCACCATATTTGTTGTACTTATCATTCATAACTGGGTATAAATGATTGTACTCTAGTTGATACTGGAGCTACTTTTACTTGTTTACGTGAAACCATAGTTCCAAACAAAACCAGGTTTTCAGTGAAAAAACATCAAAAACCCGAACAATGTCGGGAGATGTTATAATAAAAAATACAGAAACAAAAATTTTTACATTTCAATTATCCACTAATTGTGATATTTTTGGACAAAAAATCTTTATGCCTCGAGTAGATGTTATTAATTGAATACCTGCGGGAGAAAAAATGATTTTAGGCCTAGATTTTATAATAGTAGAAAATAGGTTTATTACCATTACTAAGGACTACTTGATTATTTCTAATCATGTACAAATGTACCCATTATAGATGAACTTGCATCAGAGTTGCGAGCTAAGCGTGGTGATACCCTTATAAAAGCTACTGAGTGTCCTTGTGAAATCAGTGGTAATTGAAAAATTGAAGAAGCAGATGCCTCGGTTGAGAATTATAAAAATTCTGAATCTTTAGACACTAATAACCATAGTGATATAGATAATTACTATGAGTTGTCTCTAATACAAATGGATATTGATTGTTATAAATACGTAAAGATTAACAAAGTTATAACTTTTGACAATATCCAACAAATTATTAATAGGCTTAACAAAACCATATTATAGGAGAAGATCCTACTAAATATTGGGAAAAGACCCTATTATATGTAAATTAGATATAATAAACCTTGATTGGTAATAAAAACAAAGATATTCCATATGGAAATTTTGAGCAAGAAGAGTGTAAAATACACATTAAAGCCCTACTTGATTTAAAGGTTATAGAACCTAGTACCAGCCCATATAGGAGTCCGACTTTTATTGTTAACAAACACTCTAAACAAAAAAGAGGAAAAATTGGGGGTCAACACTTCCTATATTTAACAAAAGAGAGGGCATATTGAAATTAGGTTCAATAGGCAGTCTCTTTCCTTTAGATTTTATGTTATCTCCTATAGAAAAATATGCAGGAGTAACAACCTTTTCTCTAGGAATAAATCCTAAGTCATATGTTTCTAGCTATAGTCAAAATGGTGAATTTGGTTTGGAACACTGTTGCTACCATTGTAACTATCTCCCATGAAACTTTTGTAAGAATGTATGGAGGACTGTGTTTCTAAAATTTCAGAGAATGATTCTGATATTTCAGATTGTATTTCTAATTTGTCCAAGTGTAATTTGTCCTTAAAATTTAATTCATTGTCATACCATTTACAAAGATCTATTTCTGAAATCTCATCTAGGTCATGGTTTTGTTTATCTTCACAAATTTCATTACTAATTTGTGAAAATAATTTTTGCTTGAAGATGAAGTCCTTTTGAATAGGAAAAAGTTGTTCATTTTATTGAATCAGGATGCATTCTAACTTGATGAAATCTTGACTTTAAATCGAATTTAGAAAACCATTTTTCTTTCTAAATTCTATTTATTAAAACATCTTTAGAAGGTATAGTGTATCCATTTATATAAGTATTGTCATTTAGACGTTTGTAGTTGTATACCATAATGAAGATGATAAATGTTTAATGACAAAAATGAGAGTTTGTATATTCTCATAATCAGTGAACCTGATTAAGAGACTATTTCTCCTATTTTTCATTATGGCAGTTTGTGGTGCTGATATAGCTGTTTTGGAAGAGCCAAAATTGAGGTGTGTTTGCCATTCAATGTCTTAGTTTCTTCTAGATTCAAAAATTTGGGGAGGAAGAAATTGTATTCCATTTGATCCAGAAGAGGTTATCAAAGGATTTGTGTTGATCCTATATCTGGGAGATATCTAATCACTAATTCTTCCTATAAAGGTTATGTCTAGATGGATGTTATTTCCATCAAAATTTTCTCCAAAACCTCTCGTTTGTATTTCTAGGTTTATATTTTGTATGAAATTAGAGAGATTCATTGTAAAGTTTGGAGCTATGTATATTAGGGAAACATGTTGGTTTAGATCTACCTCGACTATCCCTATTATAGCCTGGAATTATTATCCCTAAATCTTTGGTCAAATAGAACAAGAAAGACTTTTGCTCCTACAAAAGACCTTGTTAAGGTCCTTATTCCGGTAGTGATTAGTCCTAAATGGACATATCTCCTATGGGTTCTCAGAAGTTGTCTACCAGTTTGTTCATAAATTAATCTTATAATTTCATGTTGTCCATCTGGTAGATGAAAGTCATCTAGTCGACGATATCTGTATAAACTAGTTCTATCAGAACTTAGCCAATTTAGATTGTAAAGTTGTCTAGGATTAAGGGAATCTATCCTAGCATTTGTTTCGATATCTATATTAGACTGGATGTCTACTATTTCTTCTAGTTGTCTAGTACTAGAATTTGTTCTTATAAGGAACCTATCTGGGATCCCTGGCTGTTGGTTTATTGCTTCCACAATAGGTGTATGACCCGAAAGGGTTTGTGAGGTTCCTGTAAAAGGAAGAGTTTGTGTTCTAATGTTCATTTTCTTGGCTTCGCAAGAATGAATTTGTTAGAACTTTGTGTGGAGGGGATACTAGTCCCTATTGAAAGCTTAGAGAGTTGGTTGGAGATTTTATCTAGTTCTCTGTTTATTGGGGTAGATATTGTCTTTATAAGCTCAAAAGCTTTGTCTAGTTTTTCTTCCAAATTCTTAATCCTATTAAGGATAAGATTTTGGGTTTTATGAATGCTTTCTATGTTCTCGGAAAGCTCTTCTAAATCTGTTTTAGTGGCCAGATCTTTATAGTTCTGATACCAGTGTCAAACTGATATCATGTGTGTATGAAATGGAAAGGGTAACAAAGGTTAAGTGTACAAAGAAAATATTAAAAAGAAAACAAAAAGTGTACAAAGAAAATATTATAACGAAAACGAAAGATAAGCCTTTTCTTAAAAAGAAAACAAAAAGTGTACAAAAAAAATATTATAACGAAAACGAAAGATAATCCTTTTCTTTCTTTAGATTAATTAAAGAATATATCTATCAATCTATAGGTGTTTTCTAGATCAACCAAAATTTATTTCCGAAAATGAAAAATCAACTCCATATGCATGCATTGAAAATACATGTGATGATAAACAAAATTTCCTTGTAGGCTGGGAATTGATGAAGAGCTTGTGGCTTTGCTTGGCAAACATTCACCGGTTGGTAGCCCTTAATTTTATTTTCAACTACTGCAATGCAACAAAGTTTTTAAATTGCCTGAATATCATAATAAGTAAAGGAGTTTGTGCATTTCTGTTCTGTTTAGGAGTGGTTAATGTAGGAAAATATCTTTTCACTGTTTGAAAGACTGGCTCTGGAATGTTGACTAACGGTTAAAAACTTGAGTTACATCAGATTTCCATTGTGTTTCTCTTGAAACCATTTGAAAGTGTGGATATTATTGATGAGTTTTGGTTTTCAGATTCCTGTTACTTATGCTGGTGGTGTGACTGGAATGGCTGATCTAGAGAGGATAAAAACTGCCGGAATGGGGCGTGTGGATGTTACTGTGGGCAGTGCCTTGGATATTTTTGGGGGAAACTTAGCTTATGAAGAGGTTGTAGCTTGGCATACCCAGCAAAAGGCCTCTGTAGGTTAATTAGTATGATTTAGACTTGTTGGGGGCAGGAACTGGTGAGCAAGGATCTGTTTTTGGTGTTTCTCTAGGTGTTTAACTGTGTATCAGGAGAGTTTTTGTAACAACTTTTTATTTATTTTTTTATTTTTTATGATTTCAGCATTTACCTTCACTCACTAGTGTGATTTTGACATGATTATTATCTACCACTATACTTATATTTCTTATTTTAAGAAGTTTTTTAAAATGAGTGAATTAAAATAAAGACAAATTAATATCAGGTAATATTACATAAAGTCAAGAAATAGTACAGTAATAAATTTATAATAATATATAAAGACAATATACTTTTTTAGTGTACACAGATATTTTCACTTCCATAACTACTCTAAAACACCTACCTTTTAGTTACAAGTTATCTGTAACTTTTTATTTTTTATATTTTAAATAAATATACCCTAGTAGTTAATAAAGGAACTAAGTTTCTAGGGTATATAGACAGGTATCTTATTGACTAGTAATGCTTCAATATAATCTTTCATTTTCCCTTCTGAATGTGTATAGATATCTTTATCTTTGTAAAACACATCCATCACGCGTGTTAAGTTGACAATAGGCATAAGAATAGTCGATGGTGCTTGAGTAGGACTAAGACATGCCTCATTAATGTCCTTCCAAGCACTGTCAACCTTCTTTAGGAGTTGATCAATGGCATCCTGCTTTGAGGTATTATGTTGCATCATATAGCATTCAATGCTTGAGGCAACATGTCCTCTTTCTTGCTCATACTACATAAACAGAACAGAAGAAGAATAAATCACAATGTAATCAATATTTATTAGTTAAACTGAAATTTGTTTGTCTGAATAAAAGAAAATAAGTAAAATTTGTAAACGGTATTTAGCAAAATTAATATTATCGATTTCTTTCTCCAGGTGGTGCTACCTATGTCTGCATTTTTTTTTCTGTCTCTCTATGGGAGTCTGTATCAGGCCTTGTATGTGGAATCTTGCTATTCCTTATTCTTATGTTCAGCTTTCTTGTTGTCTTTAATAAATTAAACTTTGCTCATCAGAAAAAAGATAAGAGCAATGCTCGTAGGGTTATATATATATATATATATATATATATATATATATATCTATCTATATATCTATATATATATATATATATATATATTGGTCATTATTTGAAAGATATATTTATGAAGAAGAGGATTATATCTTATATTATTTTTGTCAAAATATTTGTAAACATAATTCTACATTGATATAATATATATTGTCTGTTTTCGGGTATAAACTTCTTTTTATAAAGTATGTATCTATTTTATAAATTTTTATTTCTCTTATTGTTTTAATAATGTGGAATTTGATTTGTATCCTGATAATATTATTATTTCTTTTCAACACGTTTTTATTTATTTATTTATAAATAAGTGTATTTTAAGTAGTCAGTATAAAAAAGTTGAAAACTACTTTTAGTCATATCAACATATAATAAGCTTAATGTTGAGAATATTTTGAAAAGAAAAGAAAAAGTATTGTTATCTAATATGTACCTCATTTCCAGCAATGTCATCCATGAACCTACTAATAGTTAAAGCAGCTATAAGAATGTTTGGGTGACTTGTTGCCCATATAAGGATCTCCTCTGTTGTGTCTTCTATGCCAATGAAAGATATGATTATCAACACAGGATAACCGATTGATACAGTTGCAACTTGCATGTATTCATTTATGGTTGGTGTATGGTTACAATGAAGCCATCTTGCCTCAGTCATTTGAGCCTGTGCCAGCCTTTTCATCTAGAATTAAAATACAAATTTATGATAATGAGAAGTGTGTTCCATAATTTTTGATTGATTTACAAGAAGATTCCTCCATACTAGTGTACCTCAAATAATTGTTATAATAATGGATAGAAATTAAAATTTAGATTGAAGATTATAAAAAAATTTCAATAAGCGTATAATTATCTATCAGACTTAGGTTTCATATATTTTTATATTTTTATATTCTTTTATTTAGTTAGGATTTTATACTAGGAAAAATGGTCTATGAATAAGAACTAATAATGTATTTTATTTAACACATATATCATAACGAGTTCATATAATCTCAAATTATCTAGCCTTTGTTCTCTCCTTTTCTTTCTTTCATACTTCAGTCTCAATATTTCAAGATTATCCTATTTTGTGTATACAATTTTCTATCTATTTCACCTTTAATAATTGTTAAAAAAAATTGTCACAAATATAAACAAAGCAAAATATATTATTTTTTCTGTTTTACTTAGAAGCATAAAGTGCGTTTTTCATTCTCGTATATATATGGGAAAGTGTGCTCACTAAAATTCCAAATATTTTTCTTGTTGCATCATTAAGCACAGTTAAGTAGATCCAAATTAATTGCGAGGTTTGGTTATCTCATATGGGATTGGTGAAATTCTTGTAAGGAAATTAGGAATGGTTTTGAACACACTATTAATTGCCCATAGCAAAAGATTCATTTTCTCTAAAGTCTTTCCATAATATTTAAAAACAATTAATAATAGAAAATAAAGAAAGGTATTTATTTCAATTGAAAATAAAGGAATGCATTTCCAAAATATAGCCACAAAAAAAATAGAAAAAGTTCAAATGGTATGAAAAAAAATAAAAAAAAATAAAAATTGCGTATAACTATTGCATGCAAATAAATAAATAAAAACTTTAATCATACTTCTTTCTTAGCATACTCGATGTAGTATGCTTTTCCTTGCTTGTTCATCTCTTTCTCTATTTCTTCAAAAACATTCAAAATTGTTGTATAACAAAATTTCATGTATTCTGGCAGATCAACCAAACAACATATATCCCACCTGCTAGTCAATAGAAAGTTGATTTTAATTAATTTATTTGAAGAAAAATAGTGAATCAAAAATTTACTAACATATACCATTTTTTATGCATCTAACCTCTCAATTGCATTGGTGAAAACCTCAAGTTCATGAATGGTTCCATAGGCATCATAGACGTCATCCATGATGGTAATTATAGAACCTACTTTCATGATTATCTTTCTAGCAAGAGAATATTGTGGCTCAAAGTAGACTCCCAAAGTCCAAATGCAACCTTCTACAATCCTATCCCGTACAAAAGGCAATTTTGATGGGACATTTAAATCCTTAATCCACCACCTGATCACCAAATTCAATATTAATTTCTAAAATGAAAGGTTTTAGACTTGGGATTTATTTATTTATTTAATGAAAGATCATAGTTTGAGGAAGATATCACTTGGTCACATCGCTGAGTTCTTTTCGATGAAGCTTCTGCAGCATATTAAAATCTAATTTTGCAAAGGTTAGCAAATTTTCATCATGGGAAGGATCTTCTTCATAGAAAGACATATAATGTCTTGCCTCCAACCTAGGTATTCCCTTATGAAGTGATTGGCCTAAGATGTGGTTCACTTGTGCAGCAAGAAAAGGGCTTAATTGGGTGGTTAAGGACTTGGTTAACTGAACATGAGTGAATTTATATGCTTCTTCAAGTATCTCTTCTCCATGAATTCTTAGTTGGGATGCTTCATACAAGCTCATCATTCCTTGTATGTCATTGGCTAGCGTTTCATTGAAATTTCCAGTTTGGTCCTTGAATTTATAAAACACATCTGCTTAAATAATAAACATGTGTTAGTTCTATATATATATATATATATATATATATATATATATATATATATAC